GGGGGGGGGGCGGTTAAAAGAAAATAAAAGAAATTGTTGAAATGACCAAAAGCATTACACAAGCATTCATTAGTATGGAAGTTATCCACTTCCTCAGTAATTTGGCTGAGTTAATTGGTGAATTTGCTAGGTTAAGACCTAGTTCGTGGTCACACTTCAACAAAACAGCTTAGTTATAAAGAATAAAGTGTAAAGGCTGCGTTTCTTTGTGGTGTTTGCTTGTTTGGATGGGTTATGTCTTTGTTCTGGGTCCAGGTTTATATAAAGCAGAAAATTATTAAGTGAAAATAAGGCTCTTTGGTGTTTATGCATTTGCAGTTTCAGTAATTAAACAATAAATAAGTTGAGGTCTTATCTAACACTTTTAAAGGTAGAATTATACCATGTGAATAATAATATGCATATAATTTGATTTCAAAGTGTAAGCCTGGAAAAGTCTAGAATCTTTTTCTTGGAATGCTATCTTGTTAGCGGAATACTAATTTGAAACAAGTGTGATGCTAATCGTACCTTAAATTTCTAACACCTTTGTGCAGTAATCACCAAGTCTGCACTTAATTTGAGACTGTTATTTTGAACACACCTTGCATCACTCTGGGCTAACCTTCCCCAGGTGTCCTAGTGTATGTGGCTACATTTTATCACAATTTATTGATAGCCTCTGGCACAGGTATCTGCAGCTCAAGCCAGTGCGACACATTTTACATTTTGAAACAGTGATTCTCACCGAATAATCCCCCCCCCCACAAAAAAGAGGAAGCAAGCCCCAAATCCACTGGTTTTAATCCATCTTAATAGCATAAAATTGAGTGAATTACAGTACCACAAAAGATCTTGCAGTAATTTTTCAGCCCAATTCTCTAATTTCACATATGCGGAAACTGAGGCACAGTTCTGTTTGTGCTTCTAAAAGAGGTATTACGCATCCTAACGCCTCTGAAATAAGAATATTGGAGATTCTGATTAATTTTATGTTTTCTCTTCATGGAACCTCCTAATAGTGCCTTTAATATTTTAATTTATGAAAGTGAGGCTCATTAAGATAGAGTGTTTGCTTTGAAATCAATGTTTCTGTGGAAACAAATTTTAACTTTTACAGGTATTGATTACAGCCTTGTGAAAAGGCAAGAGAAGGAGGAATGCTTTGCTCTCTGGGAAGTAAAACAATTAAGAAAATTAAAAGGGGGGGGGTAAAAAACCAAACTGAGGTTTGTGTGGGAGGTGAGCAAAAAATGGTTCATACAATTATTTGTGGGAGAGCTTGCATTTACAAAAAAGAAAATGAAAAAACAACAGCAATCCTCCTTCTAGCTTGGAAATGGGGTTTTTCACCATTATTTCTTCAAATATAAGGTGATTTAAAATGGAGGCATGCGTCCCTTCTTACTTTTAGTTGGGAAGGGCATGACATCTTTGAAAATGCAGTGGTTTCCAGGTATATTTTTCCTTATGATTAAAGTCTGGTCCTTTTTAACTCTTACAGTTGCTGCATGTTAATGTGGTTCTCAAACACTACATTTGATATTAAAATGTGTTTTTCCAAGAGATGACAAAATTGGTGGTCTTCTACCCCGCTCCCGCATGACATGGTTGTTGAATCCAGAGAGAATTTTCGGGGAAAGGAGGGTGGGGGTAATTGGGTAAAATGCCATGCTGCGGTTTGAGGGGCTGACTTCAGTAGCCCCGGGGGAGAGAAACCTGCCCAGAGAGGAGCTGCATTGGGACAATGTTTGGGAGGCAAGTGCTGCGTCAGAACGTGATCTGCAGACTGCAGTGTATGGGCATTGTTGGTGGATCCTGGGTATTTTAACCATGAAACATCTGACAAACAATGAATTATGTGGCTCTATACATTCATGCGTGCAATGTACCAGTGAATTCTCAGTTTGAACTTCAATTTTCTCGCCCCCCCCGCCCGCCAAAAAAAAAGACAAAATTGAGTCATTTCTTCTTCTCCCTCTTTGCTTCCCCACCCTGCAAATTTTAAAACAGCCAAAACCAAAACAAAACCTGAAACAGCAAAATGTTTAATTCTTGTTTGTTGTTCTAATGGTGAAATACTGCAGGGACACAGAATCGGACTTTTATTTCATTTCTGATGCGTCGAAATGTCAATGCAAATTGCAAGTCTGTTGTATTTTGTTTGTTTCTCTTGCGTGTTGCTTCTATGGAAAAAACAGCAGTCCTCCGCTGCCCAAAGTGTGTAAAATGCCTCCTTCATAACCTGAGACTTACTTTCATTTTCTAGGTGCTGGAGAGTCTGGTAAAAGCACCATTGTGAAGCAGATGAGGATCCTGCATGTTAATGGGTTTAATGGAGAGTAAGTGTCAAAGCTGCGCCAGGGACAGGAGCACACTTGATACTAACCTTTAGGGAGTTTAGGGAGCTTGGGGGGCTGGGCAGCCAATTTTTACTTAATTTTTCAGTCTGCATATTAGAAAATCTGGGGAGAATTCTTCAGGGATTTCCCCCCTCCCTCCTTTTAATAGTTGGTGCAGCAACAAATAGTAATAACATTAAAGCACCCGTGTCCTTGAGAAGAAAACATCTCCCCTTCCCCGGGAAAAGGGCGCCTGGTTGGCCCCAGGGGACAGGTCTGTCTCAGGCTTTGGTGCAGTGGGTCCCCAACATGGCTGACAAGGGCGGTGGCCACCCCCTTAGTCATGCGACACTGACCACTGAGAAACCCCCC